TGATTTTCATACAAGGCAAAGTAAGGACTCAGGTCACAAGTCTACCTCAGCCAGAACACTGAGTGAACCTTTTTCTGTTATTCAGAATCATGCCATTGCCAAACTTACTGACCTAACTGACACCATGCCCCCATCAATGTCTACTTCAAGACATTTAATTGATTTTACAAAATATGTTTTACCCAGTTACTGAAATATCTGCTCCGACTACTTTCTACTTTTGAATATGTTTTTATGATGCCCAGATCCTCCAAGCTTTACTGCAAATGGGACTAAATTAATAGCAAATGGGACTAGATTAATTTAGGATATCTGCTTGGCATGGATGAGTCGGACCGAAAGGTCTGTTTCCGTGTTAAACAACTCTACGACTATGTGCAAAAAACTATACACAAGACTGGTCAAATCTATTCCTGTTATGCAGCAACTAGTGGAATTTAAATCAAAGTAAGGGCTGGGGGGTTTGAAAATATGAAAAGCAGTACAGTACATAGCCTTATCACAAACAAGTGTAATGACAAAAACACGTTTCAAGTAAACTCATCTCACTAACACCCAGATGTCTGTGGTCAGCAAAGCATTCTTTGAATCCAATCTATTCTGCTGGGCAAAGTCAAATTGTCTAAGAGGAAATGAGACTGCTCAAGCTAAGCATTCTTATTAACAAGTAATCCATTTATGGCAGAGGTATCTACAGTACAGCCAGGGATAACTGGTGGCCTGCCTCCTGCTTACCACCAGTAGCCTTAAATAGATCTGCGGCTTGATAGATTTCCGTTTGTGGTGCGCAAAGCAGTAGACTGTTTACACACTGAAAGACAGTGCTTTCATTTCTTGCTGACACCGGATCTTAAAATCTTCCTAGTATAACCTGCTTTTATTATTGTGAAAAGTCTAACTGCCCACAGTGACATATTTGGAAGAGAGCAGCGTATACAGAAATCATAAGTACAGCATTTTTTAACTCCATAATACAACATGTTGGAAACATTCCACAATGTGAACTCTGGCACACAATAAAAGCTGCAGTTCAAAAGCTTCTAATGTAATATTAATTAAGCATGCCTTCTCCCTCAGAGAAATAAATTTGTGCTTGTGTACAGGCTGTATCTTTTTATTTTTCTGAATTTTGAATGTGGACTTGAATAGGAAAAGGACTGTTTTAAAACCAAGGATTATGGAAGGAATTACTGTAACTTTTAAAGTTACTGAAACTCACTAAGTCATGCTTACACTGCTGCTTTGTTTAAGCAGTGGGGAAGCATTTTGTAGATGGCTACAAAATACTATACTATAGAGCATGTACAAAGTGAGATTCAGCTGACAGCAGGTTGCTGATTGGTTTGTGGAATGGGTGACCAGTTGTGGATGCCAACAACTGATTAGCACATGGGGAGCTGAACAGCTTTTGGATGTGAACAATCCTGGCAGAAGCCTGCGGATTGCTGCAAGGTCAGATGGTGTGTCATTCTCTGCAGTAGAATATCTGAAGCCTAAAGGAAGCCAATTTATTCTCCCCTCACCAGATGCTGTAAGCTGTGGTCTTTGACCAGTAACTAAGAAATTCTGCAATTGATGTACCAATCATCTGTGCCTCTTGTAAAGAAATGTAAAGAACCAGGAGAAAAAAAAAGAGACTGAAGAACAGAATATTCTTGCAAACATGGAAGATAGGAGCAAGAGGCGGCCATTCGGCCCTTTGAGCCTGCTCCACCATTCTTCACGATTACGGCTGATCATCCAACTCAATAGCCTAATCCTGCTCTCCCCCCATAACCTTTGATCCCATTTGCTATATCCAGTTGCCTCTTGAATACATTCAATGTTTTGGCATCAACTACTTCCTGTGGTAATGAATTCTACAGGCTCATCACTCTTTGGGTGAAGAAATGTTTCCTCATCTCCATCCTAAATCATCTACCCCGAATCCTCATACTGTGACCCCTGGCTCTGGACACACCCACCATCGGGAACATCCTCCCTGCATCTACCCTGTCCAGTCCTGTTGGAATTTTATAAGTCTCTATGGGATTCCCCCCTCATTTGTCTGAACTCCAGCGAAAACAATCCCAACCCTAGTCAATCTCCCCTATACATCAGTCCCGCGATCCCCGGAATCAGCCTGGTAAATCTTCGCTGCAGTCCCTTGAGAGCAAGAGCATCCTTCCTCAGAAAAAGATCATCTCAGTGATCCATGTGGAGTGGGGCCATTGAACTGCTTCTTCAGTTTCATTCCCTCTATCCATAACACCAATGTGTCTGTCTGCATGTATCTGGGGCATTTAGAAAGGAGTTAGAGCTTTAACTAGTAATCTGTTGGCAGTTCATAGATTATAACCACAGGTAAATAACTATTTATTTGCAATAAACTGTAGTTTTAGTCAAGTACAGAAATGTAGGTGCTGTTTGCTGTTAACCTGGATCGGTTTAGCAGGTAAATTGGGGACTTCACATACTTTGATAAAGTTTTTAACTTTTGTGACAATTCCAGGACTAGCGAGGCTTGATTTCCAATGCATTACCCCAGTGAGGCATGACATTTGTCAAGGTAGAAATTGTCATTTCTATGTTGTTTCATTAGAAACTACCATTTCATAATATTACTCATTTCAGGCAAACTTACAAAAAACATGTTGCAATGCAGCACACTACATGCACTATTTTAGCCCTCACTTACAGAAGAATAGCAAAAACATAATTCTGTAAAACATCTCAATATGGTTACACTGATATTGGACCTAGAAAATTTACAGTTTTAACAGAATGTTTTAACTGTTTCAACAGGATCATTACAATTTGGATATAAATTTTCCACAGTAATATTCTACATCCCTAATTATTTGACTCACTAGAACACTGGTCCAAGCAGAGTTCAAATGAAGCCCATCCGACTGGAAGAGCTCCCTTCTATGCAATACTAGCGCTTGTGTCCTATGAACCAAAACCCATTCCCTCCCACACATTCTGTGTGTCACATGTTTACCTCCTTGACTATATTTACCCTCTGTCAGTTTCTGTGATTCAGGTGCTAACCCAAAGTTCTTACCTGGGAGTTTTCTCTTTGTACTTTACCTCCCAAATGTTCAAATCCTTCCAGCAGAAACTAAATTTGATTTGCCTTATCGGAGGGGTATGACTGTATCTTGCAGCAAAATATCCATGTCACTTTCCCTCTCTGATGTGGTGCAATATCTGCAGCTTGAACTCCAACTCAGGTCTAAAATCACTCAAGCTGCAAACACTTACTACTGAAATGTTCACCTTGGATCACCTTATAGTGTCCACCAGATCTAACATGCTGCAGCAACATCATCCATCTTGCCATCATTAACACATTTAATTTGATTTTTTGAATTATTAGAATTTTTTATTAATTTAGAAAACCTGTTCTTTATATTTTATTGTAATTATTTTTTATTATTCACCACTGTAAATTTTATACATAACAAGCTATTTATTTTAAGAAAAGACAGAAGAATAGATTAGACACCTAAACAAACTGAAGACCTTATTTTTACTTTAAAGGCTAGATCTTGAACTGTGTTTTTCCATTTAACCCATTTTGCAGTAATGGAAAACAAATACAACCTCTCTTCAACAGTATGAATTTCAAGACAACAAGGTGCAGGGCTGGATGAACACAGCAGGCCAAGCAGCATCATAGGAGCAGAGAGGCTGACGTTTCGGGCCTAGACCCTTCATCAGAAAAGGGGGAGGGGAAGGGGGTTCTGAAATAAATAGGGAGAGAGTGGGAGGCGGATAGAAGATGGATAGAGGAGAGGATAGATGGAGAGGAAAGAAACAGGTCGAAGAGGCGGGGATGGGGCCAGTAAAGGTGAGTGTAGGTGCGGAGTTAGGAAGGGGATAGGTCAGTCCAGGGAGGACAGACAGGTCAAGGGGGCGGGATGAGGTTGGTTGGTAGGAGATGGAGGTGTGGCTTGAGGTGGGAGGAGGGGATAGGTGGGAGGAAGAACAGGTTAGGGAGGCAGGGACGAGCTGGACTGGTTTTGGGATGCGGTGGGGGGAGGGGAGATTTTGAAACTTGTGAAATTGACATTGATACTTCAATGTCACTTTGCCAACAATCAATGAATTGAATTGATCTAACTAAAAATAAAAGTTGAAATAGTTTTCTTGTATTTCAGGCAGTATAAACATATTACCATAAATACTGAATAAAATCCTGCCCTCCTCTCTTCAAGTGAGAAAATAATCTTTAACATTTTCTTCAGAATTCAGAACCATATCATGAAGCAAGCCAATACATTTATATTAAACTGCGCTGTTCCATAAAGATTTTCAAACAGATTTTTGAAATACATTATTTCAATATAATTCATAATGCTTGTTTCAAATATCACGATTATTGCTCTCAAGTTTAGTTTGAAATAACTATTCATCTCAAGTAATAAACTGCATTAAGAATATACAGTATTAGACTGCAATGAAACTACATCCATTTGAATGAGGTACTGAACATGGGACTGAACTTCAAACGATACTTGCACTTCTAGCCTGGATTGCAGGTCCAATCTGATGAGTTCAAAATATTCCAAGTTTTTAAATAATTGACATGACCATTGATCAGAACCCTGAAGTATTGTGGATATTTTTAACTTGTAATTCCAAAATGTGTTTTCTAAAAAAAGAGAAAGCTGATACAGACAAAAGTTTCTGCAATGTAAATAAAGTGACTGTCTGGAGAGACCCATGGGAAGTTATACCTATTATACTAAAGGGATTTCAAGTAGGAGAAAAGGAAAGTCAAAACAGACTAGTCTATAATCTCTTGTGACTACAATGATAAGAAGAGGCTGAACATCCCCTATCCAAGAGCAAGACAAACCATGCTGAATAAGTCCTGAACTACAGATACACTGAGTATTCTTCTAAGGGAAAAATGTATTTCTCTGTAGTTTCACCTTAGTTTTTCATTTTTCAGCAGATACACTAAACTTGCCATTAAAAGTGTTATATAGCAAATTAAAATTAATAGTTACCTTTAATAACAAAGGCTTCCGCTAAGAGTCTTTTCTTATAAATTGGTTCATCATCAATACAAAGGTCATCGATTCCCACTCGGGCATACATGCTGAGTGCATCGCGATATGACCCCTCCACAAAGTGCAGTTTTGCTAAGATAAGAATGGCTTCAGTCATCAGATTGTGCTGAAAGAAGAGAAATATAGCTGTTGATACCCACTGTACTAAGGTTCTTACTTTAAAACAAAACTTAGTTCCTCACTTTGACTAAATTGCAAGGTGAAATCTTTAGTCTCAGGTTTGGTTTCATCAACATAATATTAAGCTGTTCACTATTTGCAAGACTGCTTACAAGTCAGATTTTCTCACATTCTGGTCTGCAGGATATGTTATCTATATATAGAAAAAATGTGGCATTGTTGATGGCTTTCATCAGGTTCCATTGCAGCAACTGCTGTGACATCAAGCCAGCATTTGACTGAGCGTGGTACCAAGGAGCCTTAGTAACACTGAACTCAGCGGGAATGGGGGAGGTGGGATTCTACAACACTTTATGACCACATTCAGCAGGACCTGGACAACGTTCAAATTTGGGTTGATAAGTAGTAAATACCGTTTGTACCATATACGTGCCAGGCAATGATGCCATCTCCAACAAGAAAGAATCTAACTAACTGTCTCCTATTAACTTGCAAAGACATTACAATCATTGAATCCCTGAGAGTTAGCATTGACCTCAAACTGAACTGGATCATCCATATAATCACTGGTGACAACAGCAGATCAGAGATGGGGAATTGTTCGGCAGGTAACTCACCTCCAGCCTCCCATAGGGCACCAATCAGGATGCAATGGAGTAAGCTCTACTGCAGATCCAATTACACTCAGTTGTTCAGCTGCTCAGTTGGAGTAGAGCTGAATCAACTTGGGGGTGAATGGCAGCAGGGAAACAAATCTGATAAAAGTCTGATAAAAGCTCAGTTGGAGCAGCCACAGCGGAGTGAAGTGAACTGGAGGGTGAATGGTACCAGTCGGAGCAGAGCAGAGCAAACATGGGAGTGAACAGTACCAGCGGGAACACAGCAGAGTGACCCTGGGGGTGAACAGTACCAGTTGGAGCAGAGCGGAGTGACCCTGGGGGTGAACAGCAGCAGTGGGAGCAGTGCGGGGCGAAACTAGGGGTGAATGGTACCAGCTGGAGCAGAATCCAGAGGTGATGTCACAACTTAAAAAGTATGTGAGATTGGTTGCTTGGGAAACAGTGTAGAGAATGATTTAGTACTATATGGAGGAAATAAAGTCCTTATTTTTGTAGTTTTGTTAGGAATAGAGAGCAAGAGTGAGAAATCTGATTTGGTGATTGTCGATAAGGTTGTGAAATTGGTTCCTAGTTTATTGTTTATAGTTGGTAAGGTTCATAATGGCAGGAGAACTTGGTCCCATTGAATGCTCCTCCTGCTATATATGGGAAATTAGAGACACTTCCATTATCTAAGGTGACTACATTTGCAGGAAGTGTGTTCAGCTGCAGCTCCTGATTAGCTGCATGGAGTGGCTGGAGCTGGGGATGCATTCACTATGGAGCATCCATGAGGCTGGGAATAATCATAGATAGCACATTTAGCAAGCTGGTCACACCACCAATAAGGTCTACACAGACAGAAACGCATTGGTTGACCACCAGGAAGATCAGTAAGTGTGGGCAGGTATTGCAGGAGTCCCCTGTGGCCATTCCCTCTCAAACAGATATATCGTTGTGGATACTGTTAGGGGTTCGGGGGGGTGGTAATAGCCCTTCAGGGGAAAGCAGCAGCAGCCAGATCAGTGGCATCATGATTATCACTGTTGACCAGCAGGGAGGGTCAAAGTGTAGACCAGCAGTAGTGATAAGGGACTCTATAGTCAGGGCCATGGATAGGCATTTCTGGACCCATGAGCAAAACTCCAGGATGGTATGTTGCCTCCCTGATGTCAGGGTCAAGGATGTCTCTGAGCAAGTTCTGGATATTCTGAAAGAGGAGAGTGAGCAGCCAGGGGTTGTGGTCATATTGATACAAATGATGTAGACAGGAACAGAGATAGAGTCCTGCAAAGGGAATTTAGGGAGATGGGTACAAAGTTGAAAAGCAAGACATCTGGGATTGTAATCTTGAGATTACTCCTTCTGCTACGTGCTAGTGAGCTGCGAAAATAGGAAGATAATACAGTAGAGGTTGTAGACATGCTCACCGAGCCACTGGGTTTGGCTGCAGATGTTTCAGCACCCTGCATCGTCAGTGTGCCTCCGGTGAAGCATTGGTGTTCTGTCCCACTTGTTATTCATTTGCCTCGGTTTGCTGGGGTTTTTGGTACCATTTCCGGTTCTGTTTCTCAGTGGTTTGTACACAGGGTCTAATTCAATGTGTTTGTTGATGGAGTTCCAGTTGGAATACCAGGCCTCCAGGGAATTCCCTGGCATGTCTGTTTGGCTTGTGCGATTATGGATGTGTTGGCCCATTCGAATTTGTGTCCCTCATTCTCCGTGTGTAGTGAGACAAGTGAGAATTGGTCATGTCTCTTGTTGGCTATTTGGTGTTCGTGTATCCATATTGTCAGTTTTCCTCTGGTTTGGCCTATATAGTGTTTCTCACAGTCCTTGCATGGTATTTTGTATATTACACCGGTTTTGCTGGTTTTGGGTATGGGATCCTTTACCTTCGTCAGTAAGTGTTGTAGGGTGGTTGTCGGTTTGTGGGCTACTCTGATACCTAGAGGTCTGAGTAGTCTTGTGGTCATCTCTGAAATGTCCTTGATGTATGGTAGGGTGATTAGTGAGTCTGGTCGTGTTGTGTCTTCCTGTTGTGGTCTGTCTTGGAGGTAACGGCGGATTGTTCTTTTTGGGCATCCATTCCTTTTGAAGACTCTGTATAGATGCTCCAGTTCTGCTTTGCGTAGTTCCTGGTTGCTGCAATGCATGGTGGCTCAATTAAATAGTGTCCTGATGCAGTTCCGTTTCTGGGCATTGGGGTGGTTGCTAGTGTAATTGAGTATCTGGTCCATATATGTGGTCTTTCTATATATGCTAGTCTGGAGTTCCCCGTTGCTTTTGCGTTCTACCATTACGTCTAGGAAGGGTAGTTGGTTGTTGTCCTCTTCTTCTTTTGTAAATTTTATCCCGGTAAGGATGTTGTTCATGTGTTGGTGGGCTTCTTTTAGTTTTGTGCGTTTAATATTCATGAAAGTGTCGTCTAATATCGGACCCAAAGTTTGGGTTGTATAGTAGGGAGCGCTGTCTGTTCTAACCTTTGCTGAAGCAGTAATGCAAAGGTTAGAATGGACAGCGGTATGTGGGAATATTTCATAGGACAGTTGATAGAGCTCAGGACCAGCATGTTCCTGTGAGGACCAAAGAGAAGGATCCCAACATTCAGGAATCCTGGATGACAACAGATATTGATAGTTTACTCAAAAATAAAGGAAGCATTTGTAAGGTTTAGGAAACTAAAATCAGACAACGCCATTGAGAAATATAAAGGGAACAGAAAAGAACTTAAACAAGGAATTAGGAGGGCTAAAAGGGGCCATGAAATATTCTTGGCAAGTGGGGTAAAGGAGAATCCCAAGGAATTTTATACGTATATATTAGGAGCAAGAGGGTAGCTTGGGAAAAATTAGGCCCATTCAAGGATAAAGGAGGAAATTTATGCATGGAGCATAAGGACCTCATTGAGACCCTTCATGAGTACTTCGCATTAGTACTCACCAAGAAGAAGGACAAGGATGATGGTAAGATTAGGGAGGGGTATGTTGATATTCTAGGGCATGTCGATATTAAGAAGGTGGTGGTGTTGGGGGTCTTGAAAAACATTAAGATAGATAAGCCCCTAGGGCCTGATGGGATCTATCCCAGGATACTGAAGGAGGCAAGGAAGGAGATCGCTGGGACCTGGACAGAGATCTTTGTATTTCTTCAGTCACAGGTAAGGTCCCAGAAGACTGGAGAATAGCCAATATTCTTCCTATGCTTCAGAAGGGCAACAGTGATAATTCAGGAAATTATAGGCCAGTGAGCCTTGGCAGTGGCAGGGAAATTATTGGAGAAGAATCACAGGGACAAGATTTACCCATATTTGGAAAATATTACAGATAGTCCACAAGCCTTTATGCAGGGGTGGTCTTGTCTTACAAATTTGGTTGAGTTTTTACAGGAAGTGACAAAGATGATTGCTGAGGGTAGGGCAATGGATGTTGTTTTCATGAACTTTACTAACACATTTGACAGGTCTCTCAGGGTAGGCTGGTCCAGAAGATTAAGTCACAAAACAATCAATGGTATGTTGGCAAATTGGATTCAAAATTGACTTGGACAAAGAAGACAGAGGGTAGTTCAGGAGGGGTGTTTTTCTGACTGGAGAACTGTGACCAGTGGTGTTCCACAAGGATCAGTGCTGGGACTTCTAATGTTTGCAATACATAGAAATAATTTGGATGAAAATGTAGGTGTTCTGGTTAGTAAGTTGGCAGACAGCATGAAAATTGACAAAGTTGTGGATAGTTAGGAACATTGTCAAAAGTTACAGCATGATATAGATTAGTTGAAAAGTTGGATGGAGAAATGGCAGATGAATGTTAATCTGGGCAAGTGTGCGGTGATGAACTTTAGGAGATCAGATGCAACAGGAAAGTATATAGCAAATGGCAGGACCCTTAGAAGCACTGATACACAGAGGGATCTTGAGGTGGAAGTCCAGAGCTCCCTGAAAGTGGCAACACAAGTGAATAAGATGGTAAAGAAAGCATACAACATGTTTGCATTCATCAGCTGGGACACCGAGTATAAAAGTTGGTAATCATGTTACAGCTATATAAAACTTTATTTAGACATTTGTAGTATTGTGTGTGTTTCTGGTTACTATAGGAAGGATGTGGAGGCATTGGAAAGGACACAAAACAGAGTTTTACCAGGATGTCGCCTGGATTGGAGTATATTAGCTATAAGGAGAAATTGGACAAATTTGAATTGTTTTCACCAGAGCATCACAGACTGAAGGATAACCTGATAAAAGTATATAAAACTATAAGAGGCATGGATAGGGTGGATAGTCGGAGATTTTTCCCAGGGTGGAAATGTCAAATCCTAGGGGGCATAGGTTTAAGAGAAGAAGGGAAAGGTTTAAAGGAAATGTATGAGGAGAGTTTTTTTCCTC